GAAGGGGGGCAAGAGCCGGGGGAGCGGGACCCCCCAGCCCTGCCATCACCCCCGCCCCACCTCTCACCTTGAGCTGCAGGATGTCTCCCTCGTGGGCCGGCCACCCCCTCAAGATGAGCCCCGTCCTGGTGTCCAGCAGCACAATGAAGCCCGACGAGAAGCCAGCCAGGACGCTGCGCCCACTGGGGCTGATGGCCAAGCAGCGGATGAGTCCAGCGCTCACCCCACTGGCCAGCCGGAACTCGTGCTGCCGGGGAGAGGCAGGGAGCCCCGGTTACTGGGCACCGGGAGGGATCCCCAGCAGGGGCAGCAAAGGGAGGCCAGACCCGCACCCTGCAGGCAGGGTCAGCTGTGTGGCAGGTGCCCCTGAGGGCTAGGGGGAGCCAAGCCCCCAGTACCTGAACTCCTGGCTTCCTGTGGTCAATGAAGCGCAGCACCGAGTCTGCGCTGGCCACGGCGATGCTGCTGTGGGGAGCAGGCATGGTGGCCATGGCAGTGATGGGGACTTTGCTGTCCGGAGCGTCGAAGGTCCGGAGCAGTTTGCCTTTGGAAAGAACAAGCAGCTCTCGAGGTGCACAAGCAGCAGGCGGGCGTCCCGGCTTGGGGCACCATGCCCAGACCAAAGCAGTCCCAGGCCTTGGGTGTGCCCAGCCCGGCACAGCTGCAGGGCCCCCCAGGCGTCGGCCGCAGGACGGGACAGAGCCCGGCTCTAGGGGGACACAGGGCACCCTGCACGGCAAGCTGGCCAGGCAGGACAGCGCCACTGCAGAGGTGCCAGCCAGCGGCGGCGGGCAGGGCTGGGTGCAGAACTAGCGTTGGCCTGGTCCCAGCTCTGCCACTCACCCCAGCCTGGCTTCCCCTCACCTGTGAACTGGTCCCAGACATGGACCGTCCCGTCGCAGCTCACCACCTGCTGCGGGGCCTCCAGCGGGCTGACGGAGAAGACCGACTTCCTGTGCTGCGCGTACGTGAGCCGCGGCTCCGTCTCCCAGGTGCCGTCCCCGCAGTTGTAGAGGGGCCAGAGGC